ACACGTGGATTTATATGTCATCCATGTATTTCGATCAGTTGTAGTTCTTACTCTGTTTTGACGCTCAGATTGTCCCCTTTTCAGCTAGTGGGAGCTCCTTTATGCTGATCCCTTTGTCCCTTTGACCTGACCCATTAGACTTTAGACTATAATAGATTCCCTGATTTCTGGCACAACAGGGTGTTCCAGGCTCATCATGCACATTTGTTGCCCCAGACCTGAAATCTGCCATTCTTTTAAAGGACTTGCCCCTTTTAACAGGGAATGATGTATTGAAAGTATGAATATTGGGGCGCCTGTGTGGCTCAGTTGTTAAGCAACTGCCTTCGGCTCAGGTCATGACCTGGAGGCCCGGGATTGAGTCCCACATCGGGCTCCCTGCTCAGTGGGGAGTCTGCTTCTCCCTCTGACCCTCCCCCTCTCATGCTCTCTGTCTCCCATTGTCTCTCTCAGATAAATAAATAAAATCTTTAAAAAAAAAAGAAAGTATGAATATGAATACTAAAGGTGCTCATTGCTATAAGATTTTCATTATTTCCAGGCCTTTTCAAGGGACAAAACAAGTAAATGCTTCTCCACCCCCCAAATGTAAAACTTTTCTTATTGGAACATAAGAAACATTTTTGAAAAGGAAAAATTGTAAGTTCATACTATTTCCAATTTAACTTTAATTTTACATGGATTCTACTTCCTCTGTTGTTCCTAACAATTCTAAGATTTGTTTTAACCTATAATGTATAAGAATAGTTGAAGATAATATTTTTATTATTAATAAAATAATATATTTATTATTATTAATAATAATAAATTTCCACCAGCAATAAGACTGCAGACTGAAGTTTAAGATTTCTTTATAGGTTTATTTATCCTGAGAATATATTCCACTGTAAATGCCCTGTAAAAACACTATTTTCTAAACTCATTTAATTATTTACTTGCCGTAGTTATGCCACCCACTTAATATACACTTAGATCATTTGCTTCAGCTTGTTTTCAAATTTTAGCAATTACATTTTTCTTTAGAATTTAAAATTATTTTGGATATGTAAAACATATATGACTTTATTTATTTTTTAAATATAGAAACTTTGTATAGCAATAACAAAAAATGAAAAACAGAACAACAAAAGAACCAAAAAATAACGAAGTTAAATAACAAATGAGAAATTGGGATATGTAATGGAAACATCTAGGAAAATTACTTTTTACAAATTGTGTAATAAAAGACTCGAGACTGTTATCTTTATCAGTTGACCAATACCATAATGCATATACATGACTTCACATTCAAAACTATATAGTCAAGGTATATTCAGGGTAGTCTGTTCCATGCCGGTTCCCTCCAGTTGTTTCTTCCCAACCCAAATATATAGGCTAGTGTATATTCGTAGTTCACCTATCTTACCAAAAACACACTGTACTGTTCTGCGTCTTGGTGTGTTTGTGGTTGCTGTTGTTGTTCCAAAGTTAACCATATTCTGGAGCTCACATTACAACAGTGTAGAGATGGCCCTCATTCTTTTTCAGAGTTACACAGTGTATTTCATTATATGGACCTACTCCAGTTTATTCAACCTACTCCCTACTTGTGGTTGTTTGGTTGGATTCTAATCTTTTGCGATTACAAATAATATTGCAATAAATAACCTTGTGCATAAGTTATTTTGTATTTTGGAAAGGGTTCCTAGAATTGGGATTTCTGGGTCAAAGTATAAGTGCATAGGTAGTTTTTCTACGGATTATCAAATTCCGTTCCATAGATGCCATGAACTATTTTACAATCTCCCTGGCAATATGTGTTGTTCCTGTTCTCTACAGCCAGCAGCCCAGTAGACGGTCAAACTTTTGGGTTGTTGCTAATCTGATTACTTGCCTCCTTTTATCATTCTGCCCCAAGATATGCCACAGTGGTTTTCAACTGCTTTTGGAGGAACTCTCTTAGGATAAACAATAGGTGATTGTGTTGAGGTTGGTAGAAGGATGGTGGCTGCCGTGTCCCTATCTATGTCCACTCACCTAATTATGGAAATGCCAACGCCCAAAGCATACACCATCCTTGTTAAGACCTTGCACTTCCAAAGGCTGGCTTAGGTTTCCAGCCCAAGAAAAGGACATTAAATATAACTTCACTTGTTTCTAAGGTCAGCAGAATGCGGAGAGAACAGTAAGTGAAATCCACCAATACTGTACCAACTTCAGGATCCTGAGAAAGGTGGAGGAAGAGCCATGACCATCTTTTGTCAGCTTGTTATCTCCCAAACAACCCCAAATCCCAGGAGATGGAGAAGCCCTGTGTATGGCTGGAAGTTTCCACAGATTGTGGAGTGGCCATTTTAACCCGCAGGGCTACTCACACACAGGACCTCTTCTTTTGCTGCTTTGTGGGAGTCATCAATGGTCCTTGTTTGTTTTTGTTTGTTTGTTTGTTTTCAGCATCTCCCACTTCCCTAGATTCCCAAGGGTGATTTTGCCCCCAGGGGACATTTGACAACGTCCTGAGGTATATTGGGTTGTCACAGCCCTAGAGGGGGTTACTGCTGGCTTATAGTGAGTAGAAACCAGGGATGATGCTAAACATCCTAGCATGCACAGGACAGCCCTCCGCCATAACAAAGAATTCCATGCCCTCAAATGTCAGTAGTACCAAGGATGAGAAACTCTGCTACATTCTTTCTTTTTGCACATATTCACAGACATCTGCAAAATGAGTATTACCAGTAGCAGAGGAATGGTGGAATCACAGATACTTCCTCTCCCTGCTCCTCCAAAAGTCACTATCAATTCAGAAATCTCTTTAGTCAGAAAGGCTCAAAGGAGTTATATATTTATCTGGAAGATTAAAGAATAAATACCATTTTAACCTTCTAAAAATGGATTATCATTAGGTATAATGCAACCTTTTAACTGTAAGTATAAAAGAAAGTGCTGATTATTTAAAGTAAATGGGACCAAAAGTCCCATGAATAATCAAAAACTTGGTTAATAGAGTATGACCAGAGAATAATGCATTTGGCTTCTGTGGAGAAATTAAAGTACATGCTGTGAATTGGTATTAAGGAAATTGCATGAAAAATTGGTCTTAAGATTCCATGATTCTGAAGAAACAGCCTCAGGTGCACAATCTATCACATTCAGTCTTTATCTCTCTTCATTTTTTCATGACTTCTTTCACCTTGGATAACCCAGAAGCTCAGGCCTTGGAACTTTTTGAAATGGTAAAGTATCTCACTCTCCACGTTTATTTTCATCTAGAACAGAGCTGAATTTTATTGCCAGGAGTTTGTTATCTCTTCCACAGGAATTATTTTGAACTTCAGCTTGCCTTACTTATTTTGTGGGCAAAGACTGTGTTTAACACTTACAAGCTTAATTCATTTCATCTAAAATGTACTCCTGAAAAGTTAAATCACAAGGGAACTTTGCTATTCAAAGGGAGTCTGAGGCTAAACATTTGTAGAGAAAAGCATCTTTCTGCAAAGTGAATAATTACTCTTTAATTCGCCCTTTTTTAAGTCTGGATTTTTATATGTAGCCCGAATCTAGAGGTCCAGTATTGTGCATGATACTAATTTAAAAATATACCAATAAGAAATTTGAAAGCATCTTTAAAGTTGAAGAGAGTTTTACGAGCTATTTTTAAGAGTGTAAAATTGGGCAATATATCTTTCATTATTAACAAGGGTTTGTTTGTTTATTTATTTGAGAGCGCAAGAGAGAGCAGGAGCAAGGGAGGGGGGAAGGGCAGAGGGAGAGGGAGAAGCTTCAGGGGAGCCCAAGGCAGGGCTGGATCCTAGGACTCAGGGATCACGACCTGACCCACTGAGCCACCCAGGCACCCCTAAAGAGGTTTTTGTTTTGTTTTGTTTTTTGTTTTAACACTTGTTTTGAGTGATGCGAAAGGGGCAGGATACTAGATATACCTGAAAAAAGAAAAGGCAACATTGCTTGAATGATAACCACATTGACTGCTTCCCTTCAGCAATGGAAGAGTAAAGAGTGGTTGGTAGGTTGTTACTTAGCGTAATGCTGTGGTTAAGAGCATGGATTCAGAAGCCTGATTGCCTGCCATAACATCCCTGTCTAGTGCGGCCTTTGACAGTTTACACAACTTGGATGTGCCTCAGTTTTCTCACACGAAACATGGAGAATACTAACACCATCTACTTAATGGAGTTGAGGATAAAATGAGCTAATATATGAGCTGTTAAGTGAAAAGCACTGCGGTTGCTGATACAGTTTTGAACGTCCTTCCGAAGAACAAGACAAGAGAGGGTGGGCACGGGCCCCTCTGCACCCCGGTGGAGGCACAGCTGCTTCTGCCTGGGCCGTACACCCGGGGGGGGGGGGGGGGGAGACCGAGGCTCAGCGGGGAGGCTGGTGATTAGACAAGGTTCAAGGACATTCCTTGGGAAAAAACCCTTTCCGCCGGGCCACGCCACCTTTCGTCTGGCTGGGAACTGAAGGAAAAGAGGGCTCAGTCCCACGCCTAGACTTTGCGTCCCACTGCGGAGTAGCGGCCTGTAGCTCCCTAAGGCCAGCTGCCCTAAGGGCCGCCCTCACGCCGGTACACTACCCCTGCCAAGGACTGGTGGACAGCTGTGAGAGGCTTCCCGGAGGAACCCGCATCTCGGCCCGGCGCCCTTCCTTCCGGGCGCGCTGGGAGCCGCGAAGAGACTTGGTAGACACCGACCCTCGTCCAGAACACAAGTATTTCTGTGCGGCACTCTGTGCTGGGCGTTGGGCATGCCCTGATGAATCAGACTGGGCCCAAGTTCCGGGGGCGAGAGCACCACTCGGCAGCCCTACACCCCAACCCAATCCCGGGAAACCCAGGTCTTCCCAACCTTGGGTGGGGAGGGGGTGTGGGAGGAGCTTAAACTTTCGCCCTACCCCTCGCCTTCCGGGGCTCACCTCCAAAGCCCCGCCCCTTCGGGGGCGTTCACGACTGCGCCGTAAAGGAGGGAACATTCTTTGCTCCTGAACGGTCCGCCTCTGTCTTTACGACAGACCGTATTCCATCTCGCCAATATGGCGTCCCCCATTTAGGAGGCGGCCGTGGTTTCTACCCAGATGGTCGGGGGCAGTGCTGAGCTCCGGCTGTTGTTTGTGTAGCCCGAAGCTCTGAAAGCTGCAGTTAAAGTGCGTTTCTGGTTACGGTTTCAGGAACTCCCCCTTCTCTGAGGGTCGGGAGTTGCCGCTTTCTTCTAGGTCCTGCAAGTTCCTCCTCTGCCCCTGTTTTTTTCCCCGCGCCACCTCCGGACATCCTCAAGTCCCTGACACTCCCAGACTCAAACTATGAGCCTTCGGCAGCTACTGTTGCGCTTGCCCCGTTATCTCGGGGTGTCGGGTTCCCCGCGTCGCTTGTGGTGGTCCCCGTCCCTCGATACCATCTCCTCGGTGGGCTCCTGGCGTGGTCAGTCCTCCAGGTCCCCGGCCCACTGGAACCAAGTCGTGTCAGATGCGGAGAAGATCGTGGGCTATCCCACGTCCTTCATGAGCCTCCGCTGCCTGCTGAGCGACGAGCTCAGCAACATCGCTATGCAGGTGCGGAAGCTGGTGGGGACTCAGCACCCTCTGCTTACCACGGCCAGGTGAGCTACTCCCTCTCCTCCTGACACACTTCGCACCCACTCGAGTCCTTTTTCCTGGCCGACACTCCCTTCCTGCCTCGCTCATACTGGCTCCAGGCTTATTTCTTTTTACGCATTCTTTTCTTAGCTCTCCTGGACATTTGATGTTGTCTCTTCTCTAGCCCACTTACCTTAACTTTTCTTCCTCCATTTGCTCAGCTGAGCGGCTAAGTGGTTTTCTTTTGAGAAACACCTATACTCTTTTCGCGTTTTTGGTTCTAAATCGTTCAGGGCGAAATCGAGTAGGGATGTAGGTTTGAGTCACTTTCTAGAAATGGTCTTTTAAAAATGGGATAGATTGATTTCGGTTCCGCACTGTTCCAGTGGTCGCCTCCAGAAAAAAATGGAGAGGGGGAGATATGCTGAAGGTAGACCGTTCTTTCCAACGAATATCGCAGGCTTAAAGTAGGAATCTATCCAGTCAGTAGTCACTATCCTCCTGGGATTTTTATCACTTATTCTGGACTACTACTATGAAACTTGTCGTTAGGATTTAAGATCACAACTTATGCTTCCAGTAAAAAAATAAAAAAAACCTTTATTTGTAAATAATTTCAAGCATACTGAAAAGTTGCAAGAACAAAAATAGTACAAAGAGAACACCTGCATGCCTTATAATCAGATTCACCTATTCTACACATATATACATACTATTTACATGTATATGTAAAATACACACATTTTTAATGAATCATTTGAGAGTAGATTGCATACATCATGGTCCTTTATGCCTAAATACTTCATCGTGTATTTCCTAAGCATAGGAATATTCTTTATAGTAATCAATTTAAACACATTTACTATTGATACAATACTCTTATTAATCTACCATTGATATTCCAGTTTTGTTAATTGACCAAGAAATGTCCTTTATAGTATTCTTTCCTCTCTAGTACAAGATCCAGCCTAGGATCACATATTACAGTTAGTTGTCATGTCTCTTTAATCTCCTTCAATTGGGAACATTTCCACAGCTCTTCTTTGCTTTTGTGAGTAGAGCTGTAGTTCTCAGATGGGGCAGTTTTGCCCCCTAGAGAACATTTTGGTGCTATATGGAGATGTCATACCTGGGGCATGCTCGAGAGAGGGGATGCTGTTAAACACCCTATAATGCCCAGCACAGCCCCTACAATGAAGAATTACGGGCCTCCCAATGTCAATAGTACCAAGGTGGAGAAACCCTAGGCAGAAATTATCTTTTTTTTCACGTTTTCCTTTAAAAAAAAATTTATTTTTTTATTAGAGAACACGAGCAGAGGGAGGGGCAGAGGGAAAGTGAGAGGGAGAAGCAGAATCCCCGCTGAGCAGGAAGCCAGATGTGGGGCTCCATCCCAGGACCCTGGGATCATGACCTGAGCTGAAGGCAGATGCTTAACCCACTGAGCCACCCGGGCGCCCCCCGTTTTCCTTTTTTTTAATTAAACTTTTATTTTGAGGTAATTATAGATTCACATGCTGTTGGAAGAAATAATACAGAAGATCCAGTGTACCCTTTACCCGGTTTCTCCCAATGGTAGCATCTTGCACACCTATAATGCAGTATCACAAGTAGATTATTGATATTGATATAGTCAAGATGCAGAACATATCTATCACTACAGGATCCCGTATGTTGTCCTTTTATGTAGCCACCCCCACTTCCCTTGCTCTCCCCCTTGCTATAATTTGTTGAGACACCTGTCATTTTTTATTACTACAGAAGTGACCAAATAGCAATAATAAAGTGATTTTACTTGTTGGCATTGTTTCCAGTATCAGGCATGCCGTCTTAATGAGTGGGCTAAACTTCTCCTGTAGCTGGAATGTTCTCTTTTGATTTTAGATGATATACACTCAAAAACCGCATGTACTTATATGTTTTAAAGCTTAGTAATGAAACTAAAGAGCTTACCATCCAACTTAAAAACTCTAACTACCAATCCTTTTGAAACTGTCTGTACTCCCCAGTCCATGTTCCTGAACCCCAATGTGCTGGATTTTGTGTTTATTTTTCCTTTTTAAAAGTTATATTGGTGTTTCTCTAAATAATAACGTGTTAAATTTTGCTCACTTTTGAAATTTATAAATATGGTAGCTTATTGCTTGTAGTCTGCTATGCTTACTTTTTTATCCATAATTGTTTGTATTTATCACAAGATTCGTCCATGTCGTGTTTAATTGTACTTCATTAGTTTTTCACTGGTACATGAAATCCTATTGTGCGAATATGCCATAGCCTTCTTTCAATCAGCATTTAGGTGGTTTGCATTTTTGTGTTATGAAAAATGCTGTTGTGAATGTGCTTGCACATGTCTCCAGGTGTATTTGTCTTGAGAGAATCGATGGAGGAGGAGTGTATGCACGTGTTCAATTTTAGTAAATAATAGCAAATTGTTTTCCAAAGTGATTGTACCAGCTGACACTCTCATGAGCAATGTCTGAGTCCAGATTACTCCATGTTCTCATAGCACTAGAACCTTAAAAAAAAACAAGGTTAGAAAAAAAAAAAAAAAAGAAGGAGGAATCATTCTACTGTATTGATACAATACTCTTGATATCAATTTCATTGATCAAGACAGTGTGGTATCGGCAGAGGAATAGACAGATCAATGGAACAGAATAGAGAACCCAGAAATAAATAGATCAACACAAATATGCCCAATTGATTTTTGACAGAGGTGCAAAAGCAATTCAATGGAGGGAGAATAGTCTTTTCAACAAGGTGCTGGAATGATTGACATCACCAGCAAAAAAATGAACCCTGACCTAAGCCTCACACCTTAAAAAAAGGAAAAAAAAAAGGAGAATGGATACCTGTGAGATCAATGTAAAACGAATTTGAATGTGAAATGTAAAACTATGTAACTTTTAGAAGAAAACATAGGAAAACCTCTCCAGGATCTGGGGCTAGATAAACAGTTACTAGACATAACTCCAAAACCCCATTTCATAAGAGAAAAAAATCAGGAATTCGACTTCATCAAAATTTAAGTCTTTGCTCTGTAAAAGACCATCTTAATAGAATGGAAAGATTAGCCAGAGATTAGGAGAAAATATTTGCAAATCAAATATCTGAAGGGCTTCTTTCCAGAATATGTAAAGAACTCTCTAAAGTCAGTGGTAAGAAAGTAAACAATACAATTAGAAAAGGAGCAAAAAGAGCCTGTAAAGATGACAAGTAAGTATATGAAAAGGTGGCAGGTAAGCATATGTAACATTAGCTATTAGAAAAATGTAAATTAAAACCATGATGGGAACTGCTGCTTACCTACTGGACAGGCTAAAATGTTAAGTACTGACAATCTGAAGTCCTTGTGAAGATGCAGAGAAAGGAAACGAGATTTCTTTCAACATTGCTGATGGGAATGTAAAAATGGTACAGCCACACTGAGAAACAGCTTGGCAGTTCCTTATAAAATTAAACATACACTTCCCATACAACCCAACAATCGTACTCCAGAGAATTTACTCCAGAGAAGTAGAAACTTACGTCAAAACCTATACACAAATGTTAATAGCAACTTTATATGTAATAGCCCCAAACTGGAAATAACCCAAATGTCATTCAGTGATGAATTGTTGAACAAATGGTGTTGCAGCAATGCAATGAAGCCCTGCTCAACAATGAAAATAACTGAACTATTTATTCATACAACAATTTGAATGAATCTGGAAAGAATTATGGTGAACGGAGTAAGTCAATCCACACTACTGGTGGGAATGTAAAAAGCCACTACAGAGTACAGTATGGTGGTTCCTCAGAAAAAATTAAAGAATTACCTTGTGATCCAACAATTTCACTTTTGGGTATTTAGCCCAAAAAATTGAAAGCAGAGTCTGAAAGAGATATCTGTTCACCCATGTTCATGGCAGCATGATTTGCAGTAGCCTAGAGGTGGAAGCAACCCAGATGTCCATCAGTAGGTGAATGGATAAACAAAATATTGTGTACATATAATGGAATATTATTCAGCCTTAAAAAGGAAATTCTGGAACATAATGTTAAGTCAAATGAGCCAACCACAAGAAGACAGATATTATATGATTCCATTGATATGAGGTATCTAGAATAGTCACAATCAGAGAAAGTAAAATGGTGGTTGCCAGGGGCTGAAAGGAGGGGGAAATGGGAAGTTGTCATTTAAAGGGTATAGATTTTCAGTTTTGTAAGATGAAAAAGTTGTGGAGATTGGTTGCACAACATTGTGACTATACTGAACTGTACACTTAAAAATGGTTAAGATGGTAAATTTTATGTGTGTTTTACCACAAAGAAAAAGTCAATCTCAGAAGTTTATATATTGTTGGAAAGGAAGAATTTCCTCTGCCCTTCAAGGTCCTTCTAGCTTGTCTAAGAATCAAAATGACATGAGGCAGATTAACAGGAGAAGATCAAATTTAATAGCATATGTATGGGGAATCCACATAGACATGAAATTCCAAAGAAATGAAGCATGGAGAGGGGTGGGGGTCTGGATATTACTAAGGGGGAGAAAGATAATGATTAGCACTAAGGTGAAAGGAGATGTTTGGAAAACAAATGTTGCCCTATTATAGTCAGATAAGTTTCTTAGGTAAAGAGGAATCTCTGTTAATAGCTCTCTTCCTGGTATGAGCATGCAGTTGAGGGGGAGGTAAAGAGTTCTCCCTTGATCTGCTGGGTTTCGATTGCTTTTAACTCAAAATAATGTTCATGCCAAAGTAGCCAATCTTGGGACAGCCTGCCCTTGGCCCCTACAATATCATATGATTCCATTTATACAACATTCTCAAAGTGACAAAACTATGGAGATGAAGAACAGATTAATGCTTGCTAGAGTCAGGGACACTGTGGGGAGCCGGGAGGGTGTAAATACAAAGAGGTATTTTGTGGTGATGGAATATTTCAGTATCTTGATTTTGATAGCGGTTACATGAATCTATACATAAGATAAAGGTGCTTAGAACTATGTACACCTATACATACAAATGAATACAGGCTA